GAGCATATGGGCAAGATTCACCAGCCAGATACTACAGAAAATTCTTTCCTGGGTAACTCAGATCCCACCCCATCTAATATCCCATCACAGGCCATTGGGCCTATTTACCATGAATATTTAATTACCAAAACGATGTTATCCCATCAGACCATCTCCTCCATAAACTTATCGAGTTTAATCTTAAAGCCATATAGATCTTTTGCCCCCACTGTTTCCCTTGGAAGGCTATTCCAAAACTTCACTCCTCTGATGGTTAGAAACCTTCGTCTAATTTCAAGTCTAAACTTCCTGGTGGCTAGGGTATATCCATTTGTTCTTGTGTCCACATTAGTATTTCATCCCAGTCTCAGTAGTATTTGAAGTTGATGGAGTTACACCAGCTTTAAAGAGATGTAAATGAGAGAAAAATCAGGCATTTTGTATTCCCAAGGCTAGCTAACAACAGTTCAGACCAATGTTCCCTCTAATTTTTCCCTTCCATGTGCGGAATGAATTTTGCTATGTGTACCAATGTGGAGGTGATGTGTGGCAGAGGGTTGGGGTGATGTGGGGCAGAGGATTGGGGTGCAGTGGGTGTTGGCTCTGGGTGAGGGTACAGGCTCTGGGGTGGGACTGGGGATGAGGGGTTTGGGGTGCAGGGTGACCAGGACCTGTGGTGGGGAGAGAGTACTCCCCCCAGCCCTCTCTCCCTGCAGCAGCACCTGGGCTGGGAGAGAGCATTTCTCCCCGCCGCAGCAACTCTGGGCCTGGAGCTGGGGGAGAGGCACCCCTCCCGGCCGCAGTAGCCCCGGGGCTGGGGGAATTAAGTACCTAGCCCTTGGTGGCCTCCTGCACGGCCGCGCAGGCGCGCCTCTCAGAGGGAACTTAGGTTCAGACTTCTTTTCACAAAACTCCATCAGCCAGAGTTTCCTCAATAGGATACTGAGTGACGACATATTAAACCGATGAAACCCAAGATAATGGGTAAAGCATAATGCGTTATCAGAACAAACTAATTTTGCTGAACATTTATGAGGGCAGAACACTGTGGCCTGGCAAATACCCAATGGTGGCTTTTCCATCTTAACCCTTTTATGTGTGTCCTACACGGTGAGATTGGGGACTAAGTACAGGACATGGATAGAGTATCCGTGCTAAATTAAGAAAAATAATCTCCCTCTTGAAACACAATAACTAACAATGGCCAACAACTGAAATAAGAAATAACCAAATGCAAGGAGCATCTCTGAGGCATACCTCTAATCCTGCCAAGACCTAAATATGTTCCACGAAGGCCTTTACAATGTTTGCCAAAATGTGACACACATTACAATGTCCGAATACTGAAATGAGCTAGTATTTTTTGCATGTGGAGATTGTGTGGTGTATAGACTAGCATGCAACATTTTCTTTAATTTCAGTTTCCAAGAAATGATCTGATGATTCATTATATCAATAATTATGTTCAAAGAGGCATTTTCATTCCAAGCTCCTGTTTTCAGGCACTTATTACTTTTGGGTAAAATTACCATTTAAATGGATAGGTTTCATGAATATTCTCAGTCTCAAGGAGATTTTTTTGGTGGGAGGAAATAAGTAGCATTGTGGTAGGGGGCTTGGAGGGCCAACAGCCAAGGGGTTAGCGCACCCAGCTTTTGGCCCCTTCCACCTCTGTCCAAGCAGTAGACGTGCTGTCCTTTCCTTAATTCAGGATCTTTGGCTTTCCACCAGCATCTGGCCCTTGCCCTTTAAGGGGGTGTGGTAGGGGGACCCCGGCCCTCCCTCTGGCCCCGTGGGAAGCAACACTGGCAGCAAGTCCAAGTTCATTTCTCTGGGTCACTTCCTACCAGTAAGTCCGCTGTAGTCCAAGTAGTCAGCTGCTTAGCAGAAAAAGAGTCCAAAGAAGCAGAGCCCTGCAGGACCCACTGGTTCTCAGAGTAGGGGGCAGGTTGGTCAAGGAAGGCACTGTCTGTGCGCCTTATCCATTCTGTGGTCCCCTCTCAGCTCAACCTTCTCTGTGGCTTCTGGACGAAAGGTTCCTCTCTCCTCTACCCCCTTTATGTGGTCTTCTGAGCTCCCTCTTAACCTGCTCCTCCAGTCAGAGCATGCTCGGCAGGCCCAGAGGCTACCTGGTCCTGGTATTGCCTTTTAACCCTCAGGGGCCCAATGTGTCACCATCACAGGCACTCACCACAGTCAGACTGTGTTTCCACCATGGCACTCTTAGCCACTTCCAGTCTGGCTGGTGTGGTATGAGGATCAGGAATTGAATCTATTCTTTTCATATGATAGGGCAATACCACATTGTCAGCCAGCCTCTGATTTTTCTGTCCTATTTTGCACTTGCAAAAGGGGGTTGCATATATTTTTATAGACACAATCCCTTTCAGTACAGAAATGGGTATAAAACAAGGCAGGTCAAGACTGAAAATATATTTATATTGTAGATTCACTCATCAAATTAACTGAAACCTTTCAACCAATGTACGTGAGTGGAATAGGGGAGTAGCATTTACAAGAAGTGGCACTTCATCCAATTTAACATGCTACAAAAACTGGGAAGAACAGCAAAAGCGAAAAAATGTACAACTGACATTCATCCACCGAGTGTATGCATGTGTAACCCACATACTTTTATACTGTGTATATGCATGTACTGTGCATATGTGTGTATATATGTAACGTATTGTGTAAACATTTTAGTAGCCAGCAGTTGTGGTTATATATAATCAGTAAAGCAAAGAGGAACAAGATATATACCTATTACTTGATTTCTGTACAGTCATATAGTGAGAACATGAATCTCCCCAGTTTTCCAAAATTGAAACCTCATATTCATAGGTGCTACTCCTGCTGTGACCTTACCTGGTCATAGCTCTCATATGTCTATCCAACCAGTCAGAATGCAGTCCCCCTAGACTCTGATGAGGCAGAGAACACCACATCTCTGCTTCATTCTGGTGTTTCATTTTTACATTTAAATAGTCAAGAAATTGTTGAGAAATGTCCGTGCAATATTTCTACTATTCAAGTATTTTTAAACAAACCCCACGTCTTTAAAAAAAATTGCTGCCTCTGGAAGAGCGGTGATAAACTGAACTAAATGTCCATAAAATTAAGTCAATTTTCTGGAGTGAGGTGAATAATCTGTTGTATACAAAAGGAAGCTGTTATGCATTAGGAGATAGAAAGTAGTTATCCTTCCACAATGGCTTATTTTTTCCTATTTGTACGCTGCATGTTTTTTTTAAAAAAAGAATATGTAAACACAGCTGCATTCTGCAGTCTAGTACTTCCAAGCAAAGATGATTAAACATGACACACACACTTCCGTATATTTGTTGATGCCAAGGACAGAATGAAAATGCAACACACTGGTATTTGAAGAAATCAAAATAATTTTCTTTCTGTAAAGTCTACAGTGTTTAAGAGAAGAGTGCTATTTATTTATTTATGGCTTCTTCTCAAGAATAATTAGGTACCGAATCAATAAGAAACCTAAATACCTTTAAGAGCATGCCTAAGTCCATCCCTATTGAAAAGAGCATTTAAGCACATGCTTTAGTCCCATTTAGTCCCATTATTATCATTAATGATTTTCCCTTCAAAAGTGGAGACAGTGGTGTTTCCTTGAATGTACTAGCTGTGCATTAAGCTGAGGCTGGAAAATGCTAGAAAGTGGCCTCAGGCTGCTCTGGGCTAGCAGAAATGTATGGGGTATATAGAAATGGAGCCAAGCCACAGCATCTAGACATGGATTCAGATTTTGCACACTTGCAAATTCAGAAACGTTTGGATGTATGTGCTATGGTTTGGCCCATCAGAGTGATCGGGCACAGCTTTGAAATTTGGGTCTGGTTTTGAGTTGAAGCTCCTACTTTTCAAAGAATTGGAATATTTGGACCCAGGGATTTGGTGCAGGCCCATCTCTAATGGAAAGCCTTTACACTAGATCTGAGTTACTTGACTTCCTTATCCTGGGATATGGTGCAGCTGCTTTGCACAACTTTGCGGGCACAGTCTGGCCCTAAAACTGGTGTTGCTGGGTAGGGTGGGGGAACCACCCCAGCAGAGGGGGATACGCCTCTGGTATATATCTGGTGTGGTGGCTTCTATGCCACATACGCCCAGCTGCTGATATAGAGATGAGGCCAGTGGCAAGGAGATGTGACTGAGGCTTCCCTACATCTTTCTGCTCTCCATTTTCTGTTCTTGAGGCCACCGTCAGTTGACATAATATAGACCTCATGTTACATCAGAGCTGACGCACAGCTGGTCCAGGATATAGGATACAACATCCTCATGACCTGCACTGTGTCGTCCTTGGCCACAGCTAAGGATCTGGACCACTGTCTGTCCAGATATATCCTTGCCAGGCTTCAGTTCTCTGGTCCATGGTCTTATCTGGATCAAGATAGGTCCACCCCCTTCTCAGTTCCTGGTCCCTGCCATTGAACTGCCTCTCAGAGTATGTCAGTGCTGTAGCCGTATTGGTCTCAGGATATTAGGGAGACAAGGTGGGTGAGGTCATATCTTTTATTGGGCCAACTTCTGTTGGTGAGAGAGACAAGCTTTCAAGAAGCTCGTCTCTCTCACCAACAGAACTTGGCTCAATAAAAGATATGACCTCACCCACCTTGTGTCTCAGAGTACATTCACCGAATCCCTTTGATAAGGTTTAGTGTAAGGCTTTTTCTATTTGGGCCATTTTTGACTTGTTTCTTTTCAGTTGTTCAGCAGTTCTTCCTTTTAGTGGCATTTTCCTCCTTGTTTTCTGTTGGTGGGAGTCATATGAGCCAATTAAATATGATGGATGAAGAGGAACGTAAGTTCACATAAGAAAAAGTCCTCTGAGTATAAGTATGTGAATATATGAGTGTGTGTAACTAGAACTTTTCAGCACACACAAATGAGTCTGCAACCATTTGCAGTTGTTTTTCTCGCAAAACACTTATTGAAACGATTAAGTCTTTTTGTGGAGTATAGACATTTATCTTTGTTTGCCATTTTCTCTCTTTCAGCTCTTCTTTATGCAACTATTTTTGGAAATGTCACCACCATTTTCCAGCAAATGTATGCCAACACCAACCGATACCATGAGATGCTGAACAATGTGAGGGATTTCCTAAAATTATATCAAGTCCCAAAAGGCCTTAGTGAACGAGTCATGGATTATATTGTCTCAACATGGTCCATGTCTAAAGGGATCGACACAGAGAAGGTATGAGTGCATGAGGTAAAAACTCAGATATTGTACCTTTCAATCCATTGTGTCCTTTCCAGTAGTGTAAACAGTTCTGAGTACTGTAAACACGCTGGAAAAAAAGATCTGAACCACATGTGATTCCATTAATACTTTCATAGTTGTGCTCAGAGAGAGGGAGCTGGTTTAAAATTAGGGGGAAAAATTGGAAACATCAGTAATTTTGGTAGTGCGTTCTGTTCCCCTGCTTTTCAGTATGGTCGGATTTTCCACTTTCTCCTTGGAATTATTTTAACTTTTTTTTGTGTTTTGAGATTTGAAATTAGCAAAAACAGTTTTTGAAAAATTTGAGGGGGTGGGAAGAGAAAAATCTCAAAAAGGATATCCTTCATTTTTGGAAAAAACTCACATTTGATGGGGCTGAATAATCCAAATTGGCCATATAGAAACAACTCATAAAAAACACTGAAACCAAACAAAACATTTCACAGAGCAACTAGAAGGCTAAATGTTTTAGTTCCAAAATTTTTTGGAAAATGGAAAATGTACATTTCATGAAGCATTCCACTTTAAAAAAGGCCGTATGTCAGCAATTTTATTCTGTTTAAAAATATATCCAACAGGTCTTTCCATACAGATTACACATACCAGCAGGAAACCATCCTTTACGCACTTTTGTAGTTCTAGTACTTGCTGATATCATAAAATATAATAATAATATAGTAGCAGTAATGATAAGAGAATAAAAATCGGTGTAGCATTGTGATCTGGTTAAAAGGTGAATAGCAGAGCACTAATTGGCTCAGGAGATTGATAACTGCATATAGATCTTTCCTGCTCTTGTTCCTGATCCAAAGCCCACTAAAGTCATTGGGTGTTTGGACTTCGAATCAGGTCTCAGGTCACCATTTGGAATCTGGCGCAGATCAGTAGTGACTGAAAGTTGTTACCATCTGAGGGTTTGTTAGCATTTATGAAGTGAGTTTGGTTGCCTTGGACCAGTTCCCAGTGGACAGGACCATAATTGCTACCATCACAGTTAGCACAAGATTTTATAGACATGGAGACTGACCTCTTTGAGGTGTCCTCTCCAGGCCTGGGCTGAAGGCCCTTTGGCAGGGAAGTTTGGGAAAGCTTGTGTTTCTGCTAGTCATTCTATACCTGCTCCAGAGATTAAGAAAGGAGACTAGAGGTGAGATCTTCAGTTGGTGTGAGTTGGCTTAGCTCCACTGACTTCAGTGGATTTATGCGGATTTACGCCATCGGGGAACTGGACATTGTGTCTAGTACTGAGAACCCTAAAGCCACTTGACAGAGGAAAAGTTGTGATAGAATATTGCTGTGCTGTGCTACAGTACTTACAGGGCTGTGAGGTTCTTGTTTCAGTTAACTGCATTGCATTGTGTGGTAGGTGTAATCTGAGTTCCACCAGAACCTATCTCACTATAACATGATAAAATGGAATTATTGTGAGAACAAGGACAGCTTTAAGTCTTCTTATAAACCCATACAATGATAGTTATCGAACTAATTAACCTGAATTTCACAGTTAGCAATTAGCTTCCAAAACTATGCAACTTTTGTGTATTATTGTTATGTTAATTGATAAGGCTTTCGGTTTCTTGGATTCTTGTAGTTCAGTATGCCTGATTCTTTAATATGTTAATTTCAGCTCCATTTATACAGTGACATTCTAACTTCCAAATGTGTTCATTCAGTTTGTTGTTAACAAATTTGTTGTAATTGCTGTAAATGGACTCAGTTCTGCTGTGAAAAGCCAAATATGTGTAAAAATTCAATTTTCATTCTCATTTATCTCCTTTTAATTATTTCTGTTGCAGTTCCATTAGACTTTGATTGTGCTTTGCAGTGAATTAGAAGAACCTTTGCTTTAATTACTGAGATTTCTTTCCATTATTTCCACATATCCAGTTTAATAGATTGTAAAAATGCAGTTATAGCCCATAAACATACTTATCATTGGCTTTTAGTAAGCAGCATTCACTTGTCTGCATGGTAGTAGTGGTTGCTTAGCTAGATAATTAATAAGGCCATAAAAATCTGTGAGTTAGGTTTTTAACAGTATTCCCACACTGGAGGCCTGCCTAACATAGCTCCTGATCTAAACACCATTTAAGTCAATGGAAAGACTCGTGTTGACTTAAATGGTGTTTAGATCAGGCCATTAATGCTTTTATGTAGTACAGTTTTTCAGTTAAAATATTTTATTGACAACCAGTGAGAGAGTAGCTATAAAATGGTTACAACTTTTAAAATATTCCATTACACAGCGTCCAGCAAAGGCTATAAACCTTCAATGGCTATTGCTCAAGTACCTTGCTGCAACTGCTGTGAGTTGCATTGAAGCAAATGCGGGTTTTCCTGCATGCAGTAGTTGCATGCTGTCAACTGCATGATCAGAACCAAAATTAAGATTTCTTAGGGGAAAGGTGGAAAGCTGTGTGAAAGCACATGGCCCATCTGAACTTTGAATTCTGAAATGAAGTATGAAACATCTCAATTATAACAAATGAGAAAATGTTGTATTTCCAAGTTGGCAAACCTAAAAAATACAGCAGTCACATAGACTAGATCCTCTCCTTCATGTTCAGGGCAAATTTAGCACTTTACAAACCACTTCAGGTAGGAATGTTTTAAAAAATCATTTGGGAAAAATCATAAGACCTCTGTATTAAAATTTATGGAAAAAAACCAGGTTGCACAGCACCATGTCATAGAAGTTTTATTTACTGTGTGTGCAACACAACAGTCACAATGAAGATAGGAAAATATTGCACCAAGTGGTTCAGGAGCTGACATCCTTTTAAATAATGTGTCTCCATTTCTCTGGGGCCTGGTAACTTTTCTATTCTGAAAACTTTTCCATCTTTTGATCATAAGCTTGATTTAATCCTGCAGTAGAAATATAGAAGAGAGAGAAAAGAACTGTTAAATTTGTTGGTCCACCTCTGTGCCGCAGTAGAATTGTTCCCAGTAGTACATTTCCTAGTTTTTATATCCAGTCTAGTTTGAAGCCCATCACCAGGGATTTTTAAATCAACCCTGGCAGACTAGCATAGCCTAATATATCTCACTGTAGGAGAGTTTTTTAATGAAATTCAACAGATATTTTCCCTTTCTTAATTTCATTTAGTGCTCACTGTCCTGTCCAGGTGATCAGTAATCTATCACTTGAATCATTTCGCCGGTGTTTTTCATTCCTCATGTCCTTCAAAACAGGATGTATGTCTCCAACACATAATTTTTTTATCAGACTATCATTATGCATAGTAGTAACTCTCATACTCCTTACATTTGTGTGGACATTTTAGTCTGTTTCTATATTTCTTATTCTTCAGCAAAGATTTCTGTTAACTGTGCAAATAATTAGCAAAAAACCTCTAAACTTTGGCAATTGTTAATATTTATGGATGGTTTTCTTCCATATAGGCATCATTACTAGAGCTGAGCGAATAACAAACTTTTCAGTTGGCTGGAAATTCTAAAAAATCATGAAAAATAAAAAATTCGTTTCAGCTTGACCACAGTTTTCTTTAAATTTTTGGCCAATCGAAAAGTAAAAAAAAAAATTGATATTGGTCAAACCATATGTTTCATTCGTCCCAAGATAGTGTTTCAGTTAGATTGCAAGCATTTTTAACATGTTTAATTTTTAAAATAAAATGTAAATTAATATTGAATGGAAAAGTCGCTTTGAATTGAAACATTTCATTCAGATAATGTCAAAATGAAGCATTTCATTTTTTTCATATTTTGTTTGTTTTTATTTTCAACCAAAACAGTTTGGCATATTTGACATGAATTCATGAAACATTTCAGCGTTGCCAAATCTGCATTTTTCTCCCCCGAAAAAAGTTTCAGCCAAACAATTTCATCTAGCTCTACTGATTACATCTTCATTAGTTCCAAATAAATATACTTTATTGCTCTCTTTGCGTTCACGTGTGCATTATGATGTCATTTGCCCCATTATTAGGTTACGTTTCAGTCAGTCAAGCATGCAGCACAACTCAGCACATTGAAATGATTTTTTCTTTAAATCAAATCCATAAGAACAGCTCTACTGGGTCAGACCAAGGGTCCATATAGCACAGTATCCTGTCTTCTGACAGTGGCCAGTGTGAGGTGCCCCAGAGGGAATGAACAGAACAGGTCATCAAGTGATCTATCCCGTCGCTCGTTCCCAGCTTCTGGCAAACAGAGGCTAGGGACACCATCCCTGCCCATCCTGGCTCATAGCCATTGATGGACCTATCGTCCATGAATTTATCTAGTTCTTTTTTGAACCCTATTATAGTCTTGGCCTTCACAACATCCTGTGGCAAGGAGTTCCACAGCTTGACTGTGCGTTGTGTGAAGAAATACTTCCTTTTGTTTGTTTTAAATCTGCTGCCTATTAATTTCATTTGGTGGCCCCTTGTTCTTGTGTTATGAGAAGTAGTAAACAACACTTCTTTATCTACTTTCTCTATACCAGTCGTGATTTTATTAGATCTCAATCATATCTCCCCTTAGCCGTCTCTTTTCCAAGCTGAAAAGTCCCAGTCTTATTAATCTCTCCTCATATGGAAGCTGTTTCCTACCCCTAATCGTTTTTGTTGCCATTTTCTGAACCTTTTCCAATTCCAATATATGATTTTTTGAGATGGGGTGACCACATCTGCACACAGTATTCAAGATGTGGGTGTACCATGGATTTATATAGAGGCAATGTGATATTTTCTGTCCTTTCATCTATCCCTTTTTTAATTATTCCCAGCATTCTGTTCTCTTTTTTGACTGCCGCTGCACATTGAGTGGATGTTTTCAGAGAACTATCCACAATGACTCCAAGATCTCTTTCTTGAGTGCTAACAGCTAATTTAGACCCCACCATTTTATATGTATAGTTGGGATTATGCTTTCCAATGTGCATTACTTTGCATTTATCAGCACAGAATTTCATCTGCCATTTTGTTGCCCAATCACACAGTTTTGAGACATTCTTTTGTAGCTCT